AAAGGCATTGAACTTAGGATACGTGCGCGTGGACAGCGCGCTGCAGCGATCGAGGCCAGAAATGGCATCCTACGCCATCTACTTCACGTCATGGAAGCTGAACTCAATATTCAAGAGATACTTTTTGCGTTCACCCGACCACTGAACGGGGCCCTGTTCGCCACCAACGCGTTCACCTTATAGAGCCGGGTGTCGCCATATAGCGCTCTGTTTAGACGGCAACCAGCAATGCTTCCTGACCTTCCTGGACCACGAACAGCCGACGGAAACGTCGGACCACTCTCGTGAACAGATGATACGCAGGGTATGTATTGAAGCTATCACACAGGCCACAGCAGCAGCTAAGACCAACCGTGCCTTACGCACTAAAGCAGCTATTACTGGTCAGCACTATTACGATGAAGGAGACTTGGTCGATTATCATCGCCCCGCGACCACGAAGGATGACTGGGGAGGCTGGATTGGCCCGCTCCCAGTTGCAAAGAATGACCCCGAAAGTGGTCAGGTCATCATCCGAGAAGGCAAACGAGATGTTCAAGTACAATGCGGCGATGCAAGACACTCATTATACATTGAAGCACTGATAGCCCGAGAGATTGGCTCCGACAACACTGCACTACGCACAGTGTTAACATTCGTAGCCAGCCTATCGGCGGGGAGATCTGCTTTGACCTTTGGCTATGTGCCGACCAAGAAAGGGGCGCTTCAGATGGCGAGTGCAAGCCGTCTATCTCCCAAGGTACATTCAGCGCTACAGTACCTCATCAGAAACTTCTTTCGCATTGAGAATTGAGTTTCAGTCAGGCTAGCCAAGAGTATTCATACGCTGCCTCCGGTTACTTATGCCGACAGTTGCACGCTCAACGACGTACATCCAGGATTCCGTTATTATGAAGCAGAAGGTACTGCTCTGAATATACACGATATAACTGGATGAGCACGTTCGAGGTTTAGTCAATGCCTGAAGTCCACTAAACCTCAAGCAGGTTTTGATCAGGACATGTCAGAATTTGAGGAATTGGCAGGTCCACCGACACCGGAGGGAACCACAAGAGAAGCTTCAGAAGCCGAACCACCACATGATGATGGGCGGCTTTCTACGATTTGCAAAGAATCAGAGGCTGATCTCGAGTCGCATGTTATGGAAGTGTGGCACGCAGAACTACAAGAGGAAAAGGAACTGCTGGAGGCAACTCCACCAGACAACCTCTTCGCCATACCTACGCAGATGGTTCCAGATCAAAGTGTGCTGATCACTGTAGCTGGACAGCGGGGACACCTGCCGAAGTGGGGACGCACTCGCGACTCCGATGCCGAGGAGACGTACGACGTCCCAATGTCCACCATGGTCGAAGACGACAACTACGGACTTGACTCAGATGATAATAGTCGACATGTCGAACTCTGCTGTGCGACAGACATGTCAAAGGTAGTCCTGTCCGAACAAAAACATATGATACTGGATGCCGACCGGGTGACCACTATGCGAGCATGCGTAACCGCCTTTGCAAAGCGAGCTGTGGTCGTCAAGGAAGACGACCTCCTCGCTAAAGCTGACATCCAGGCGAATCCCGAAAAAATACCGAAGGCACTCTACACTGAACTCAAGACCTGGTTCGATAACAAGTGCTTTAAGATGCAAGATATAGCTAAAGCGTCGAACCTCATGACTTCGAGACACGTGTACACATGTAAGGTCGTGAAGAATTGGAAGGGCAAGATGGAACGTACCATCAGACTACGCTTGATTCTCCGAGGTTTCATGGGCCTTGAAGCCTTCGACGTAGAAACATGTTCGGGAAGAGCGCGGCGGTCAAGCCAGAGGGTACTCGCTAGCACGGCAGCGTGCAAGAAGCAATGGATCATTGCTTCCCTCGACATCAACGTGGCCTTCGTGAAGGGATTGACCTATCAGGAACTTGCTGAGGCTACCGGTGAAACAGAACGCGTGGTGTGTTTTACTCTGCCGCCTGGATCGGCCCCAGTGCTCCGAACTCTCCCAGGATTCGAGCACTACGGTGAGTCAAAGCATTGCCTACAGTGCTTGAAACCAGGCACAGGCACCAAAGACGCACCACGGGCTTTCTCACTTAAGCTCAGAAGTACCACCAGAGGCTTCGGTCTCCGACCCACGTCCAACGACGAGGAGTTCGAGACGAGCAACATCTTGATCACGGCCAAGCATGGTGATGACAATAATACGGCTGGCACTGAGGACACCATTGGCACATATGTCAAGCACGATGAAGATACCTTTGGTAAGTGCAAATTCAACAAGCACACATGCACCAACTGCGTTGTCATACACACCAAGGATGAGGACGGAAATGTCACTTTGGACCAAGATGAATAAATCAAAGTGCTCCGTCCTATACAACATCCCGGATTGACCGGCGCCGACGCTGACGCTCAGGCAACCGAGATGATTCCAGACGTGTTCGTCAGCCTCAGGGGCGCGCTGGCGTATGTATTAATCTCTCGGGTATGGTTGATGGTGTACGTTGTTGCTCTACGACGTGTCCAAGGACCGACCGACATCCAAGTGCGACGACTGAACGCGATCACCAGGAAGCTGCAGGCCTGCCCAAAGAAGATCGTCGACCAGGCGAGGAATCCTACGGGCGACGTCGACCTGCATCGCGACTGAGGATACGGACGCCGGAGTGGAGACGCGGATGACGACGTCAAAGGCTATGGTATTCGCGGGGCAAAACTGCTACGACGCGAAAACACGCCATCTGGTAAGCCTGTCGTTCACTTGTTCGACGCGCACTGCAAGTCTCACCGCTTGCAGGTCCGCTCGAGCTGTTCAGCAGAGACACTGGCAGCAGCCCATAATTTAAAGGACTGTTATCCCACGATTGTGACTCTGCACGAGCTTCACGCAGGGCCGCTCACGCCCACTCAGTTGAAAGATATACTTGAGTTGGGTGGCCTGAGCATCAAGGTCACTTTGACTATAGATGCCGAATCTGTTTTTGAAGTCCTTGCCAAGCAAAGACTTGAAGAAGCCGACTGAGTGCACCCTTTTAGGACACATCAGTTGGATACGACAGATGGTGGAGCGTGGGATCGCGCACAGCATCCAGTGGTGCGACACCCGCGATATGACCGCGGATGGTTACACCAAGGGGAGCATCGACAGAGGAATGCTCCTACAAGTCAAGGGAGGTATACAGGCCTTCAAGCATGACCTAAAGAGACATACTCCATATCGGGCCGGCCAGACATCAAGTTCTGGCGCCGCCTGATGAGTGCGGGTCTACCTTCCTTTTGGCCCGCTCTCTTTCTTGTGTCTTTGTGCACGCTAGCTGCTGTGCCTGCTGTATAGGGGAGACGGGGTCACGCTTCGTCTCCCTCCCCCCCCGACTCTAAAGCGAGCTGAGGGACGTAAGGAGTGGAAGCGAGCGTGCGCCCGCGGCCGCGTCGGCTCAAGCGGCCGGCCGCCCAAATATGATTGTGCCTCAGTACGAGGCACAGAATCGCTATCGAGACCAAAAGGACTTTCCTATTGCTGAAGATGGCACGTCCTCTCCTACTGGGACTATCGCTACTACGGTACAACCAAACAGGAGCTTGGCTTCGCCTAAGGCGAAGCTGCTGGCTGGGCCTCCCAGCCCCCTTCAAACTGAGACCCCATTGGGAACATTTGGAAGGACCGAACCCTTTTACAAGTGTGGCACGCCGAGTGTGCGCACGCCGAGCCACCGCGCCTGGGTTGTAGGCCAGATGGCTGTAGGGCCATTGCGCGGATATCGTGGGAGGCCTTTTTTCGGGAGTTTCTTGGAGGCGGCTCTAGGGTTGCTGTGGGACCTCCCGGAGGCCCCCAAGATTGGGGCCTCTTGTTGCCGCTGCCTTGCCATGCGGAGTTTTCCTGGAAGTTGCGCTCCCCCTTTTTACCAGCCCGTGACAGGGTTCACACCAAAGTGGCGGGCTGCAGCAGCAAGAGCACGAGCACTTCAGCCTGCAAGCCACGTGCATGACAGTATCCATGGGGTCTTCATGTTGCCTTTGCGCGTGGGCACGCGGGTCATGCATGTTGTCACGTCTGGTTGATCCACCATTCTGCCCAGTGTGAACGCCATTGTGCGGTGAACGCAGAGCGGCGCTCCAATTGCAGCCAACGCGCCAACATCGATTTCACATGTTGGGCGCTGTAGTTTTCACACGGCCCTCCCCCCTACCCTGGTCTCGCTCTGGCAATCGCGTCACATATAACTGTTCGCGGTTTGCGTGGGATCGCTCACAAAAGCGGCCAGGTTGTTCGCCAATATTCAGGTGTTTATGTCAACGTGTTCTCCCCCACGTTATGGGGGAACCCTTGATTACCATGATGTTGATGCCCACGACAGCATCCACGAACAACCAGCGCTTATGATCGCCAACCTGCCAGTAAGTTCGTGAAAACACGAGCGGCGCATGTGGGCACCACGCTGTATGTGAGAGCCTGAGTGCCAAAACGATTCTAAACAGCATTGTATAAGTGCTACATTCGTCATACGCACTGCAATGCCTGTGAGAAAGCGCTCAGCAGAATGATAGACCCTGCGAGCACCACGCTCACTGAGTCTTGGCCATGGAGCCGCCGTGAATCCAATTCGTTGGTCAATGTTGTTTCGAAATGCGGCTCGGCAGACACTTTTTGGAAACACTATTGGAATTTGACCATGTGGCCATTCCCGGCCGACCGCGTTGGGGACTGACCCCCGTTGTTTCTGTGTTTCCCCTGAGCCTGAATTTTGCGTTCCCCCTTGGGTAACGCGTGGCACCAAGTCTAGGCACAAGAGATTTCAAGTTCCAAAGTGCACATCCTGAGTGCGATGGCGTATTACAGCGTAGGTCTTGGGTAGTGGTTACGTGTGAACATCATTAGCTGCATATTGGTTGCAACATAATGTGAGGAATATGTTCTGGATAATCTCCCGAATCAGCACTCTTGTTATCATCTGGCACTTCTCGGGGAAAGCAGGTGACACTAATGCGACCTCTTGAATTCACAGGCATGGCGTGCCTGTTCCCCGCCGGTTCCAGCAGTTGTGACCTGCTCTGGTGCGGCCTCACGCGCGGCACCGACGGGGCGGTGGAGGTGCCGTTCACGCGTTGGGAGCTCGAGGAGTGGCAGGACGACAATGCCGACGCGCCAGGCAAGATGTACCCGCGCCACGGCAACTTCATCGAGGGCGCGGAGAATTTCGACGCCGCGTTCTTCGGCATTACACCACCAGAGGCGCGGGCGATGGACCCGCAGCAGAGGCTGGTACTCGAGGTCGCGCACAACAGCCTGCGCGACGCAGGCTTCGACAAGTCGGCCCTCATGGGCGCGTACGTGGCCGTGCACGTGGGCCAGACCAACAACGACTGGATCCAGATGCAGGCGCAGGACCTGAAGAAGATTACGCCCTACACGGCGACGGGCATGTCTGCGTCCATCTCCGCCGCGCGCGTCTCTTATTCCCTCGGAGTGAAAGGACCAGCCTACATCGTCGACACGGCGTGCTCCTCTGCACTGGTTGCCCTCGACACCTCCGCGGTGACGATGCGCCGGACTCAGTGCATCGCGGGCGTCAGCCCTGCGTGCAACGTTATGGCGCACCCGTCCACCTACATCAGCTTCAGCAAGCCGCGCATGCTGTCGCCCCAGGGCCGCTGCCTCACCTTCGACGCGTCGGCCGACGGCTACTGCCGTGGCGAAGGCGCTGGCGCGGCAGTGTTGCAGCGTATGGCTGATGCAGGCGGTAATGCCAGGGCGATGCTGCGGGGCGTGGCCCTGAACCAGGACGGGCGCAGCTCGACGCTCACGGCGCCCAACGGCCCGTCGCAGCAGATGGTGATGAAGGTGGCGCTGGAGGAGGCTGGCATGACGCCGCAGGACGTCACGCACATGGAGTGCCACGGCACCGGGACGCCGCTGGGCGACCCGATCGAGGTGGGTGCTTTGCAAGTCGTCAACGTTGGACGTGCGACGGCCGCTCCACTGCTGCTCGTGGCCGTGAAGGCCAACATGGGCCATCTGGAGGGCGCCGCCGCCTCCTCTGGGCTGCTGAAGCTGGTTCAGGTGCTGTCGAGTGGCAGGAGCGTCTCCACTATTCACCTGCAGACGCTCAACCCGAACTTGCAGGCTCTCGACTCTCTGCCGTCCCTGTTCGCCACGGAGAACTTGACGCTCTCGTCGCGCCGCATGAGCGGCGGCCTCTCCTCCTTCGGCTTCGGCGGCACCAACGGGCACGCGGTGCTTACGGAGGTCGACGAGACTGGTTCTTTGCCGGAGCCGGCTCATTTGGCGCCGGTTGTGTACACTAGGCGCAAGTTCCCGTGGCGCGACCCGGGGTACCGCTTCCTGCGGGGGCGGCCGGCCGACGGGCAGTTCGAGGTGGTGATGAAATGCGACGTGTACGACGTCGTCAAGCACCACATCGTCTTCGGATCCATCGTCGTCCCTGGAGTTGTTTACGCGGAGATGGCACTGGAGGCGACAAGGGAGCTTTTCGGCCACGCCGCGCGCGTCACTGACATGACGATGGTCTTCCCTTTCGTCGTGCCATACAGAACCAGTGGGGCGGAGCCGCCAGCCACGATGCGTTTCGTATTGCGAGGCGATAAGAATTTTGAGATTCAGAGCACTTCTGCCACAGGCGCCACCACTACCCACGCCGAGGGCGGCATCGACCTCAAGGAGGGCCCCAACGACGAGGTGCGCTCGAAGCCCGTGGATCTCGAGGAGGCGCGCAACCGCATCACCGAGGTCGTCCCCGTCGCGGACGTGTATTCCGCCATTGACGGGGTCGGCTTGTGGCTTGGCCCGATGTTCCAGGTGGCCAAGCAATTGTGGCGGAAGGAGCCCGACGAGGAGGGCGGCCCCATCGAAGTCCTGGGTCGCTTGGTGCTCGACCCGAGCGTGCCCAACGTTGGGTACTGCGTGCACCCTGCGTTGTTCGACGGCACCATCCACACGCTGGGCACGGCGTCCATTGGCAAGAACGTCAATGACCTGAAGATCTTCGGAGGCGTGGGCAGGGTCACCGTGCTGCAGAAGGAAAACTTCTCCCAGCTGGAGGAGTACTGGATCCTGCTGAACATCAAGGAGAAGCTGGAGGCGTCGGAGACTTTCGACGTGACTGTCATGAACAGCAGCGGCACACCGGTCTTCATCATGGACGACGTCGTTTTCAGGAAGGTGTTGCCAGAGCAGATCCAGATGGCCATCGCCGCCCAAAGCACCGTGGAAGACGACCACAAGATGTACGAGGTGGATTGGGTTCCAGTCTACAAAGAAGACGCTGAGGCAGAGGCCGAGACTACCGCAGACGAGAAGGAATGGCTCGTGATCGCGGAGGACGCGTCCCTGCAGGCGCAGCTGAAGGCGGAGCTGGGCGCGAGCCACACGTACACGACGTCCGCCGAGGCACCTCTAGCAGACTTGGCGCAGTTCTCGAAGGTGTTCGGTTTTGCTGGGCTCAGCTCGGAGTTGTCCGCACTGGACGTCCTTGATTCCACGCTGAAGCTCCTGCAGGCGGCCGCGAAGACCGCCGATGCGCCGCAGGTGTGGCTGGCGACGCGGCAGACCCAGGCTGCATCTGGCCAGAGTGACCTGGAGGGCGCCGCCGTGCCCACGCACGCTGGCATCTGGGGCATGGTGCGCACCTGGAGGAACGAGCATCCCGACAAGGAGGCGGCGTGCATCGATGCCGACGCGGGAGCCGGACTGCTGCAGCAGATGCTCCGCGCGGCGAAGCTGGGCGCCACGTCGGAGCCCGAGTTGGCGGAGCGGAGCAGCGCGCTGCTGGCACCGCGGCTGGTCGACTGCACTGCCAAGGTGGAGGTGGAGATTACGGAGCCCATCACTTTCCCGGTCGACGCGACGTACGTCATGAGCGGCGGGACCGGAGCTCTGGCGCTCCTCTTCGCGCAGTGGATGATGGGCAAGGGCGCCAAGCACTTCGCCCTGCTGTCCCGGAGCGGCATGCCACAAGCGGACTCCAAGGCCGCCTTCCGAAAAGTGGAGGGCAAAGCCACTGTGCAGAAATGCGACATCGCCTCCGCATCCGACGTCAAGCGCGTGTTCGCTGGGTTGACGGGCGTGAAAGGCATCGTGCACGCGGCCGGCACCCTGGCCGACGGCATGGCTGCCGACATGGACAGGTCGAAATTGGAGACCGTGATGAAGGCCAAGGTGGACGGCACTTTGAACTTGCACGAGGCTGCCTCGGGCTTCGAACTGGACCACTTCTGGATGTTTTCTTCCGTGGCAACAATGATTGGATCCGTGGCGCAGTCCAACTACGCCGCTGCCAACGCATTCATGGACTCGTTTGCAGTCCACCGCCGCGCCAACAGCCTCGCCGCTCTGAGCGTCCAGTGGGGCCCTTGGGCCGACGTGGGCATGGCGGCGCGCGCTGGCACGGCGGAGGGCAGCATTGCCCGCATCGACGTGCAGCGCGGCCTGGAGGTGATGGAGGCGATACTGACGAGCCAGTCCGTGCTGCACAGCGGCGTCGTAGGGGTGGCACGCATCAAGTGGAAGTCGCTCATGGGCCAGCTGCCGAAGGTGCCGCCGCTGCTGATGAAGTTCGGCGGTGGATCCGCGTCCAAGTCGGCCGTAGCGATGCCGGCGGGCGGCATGACCATGGACGACATCAAGACTGTGGTCGTGGGCGTGCTCGCGGACGTCATGGACAGTGGTTCGGACGACCTTGACCTCTCCACGCCGCTCATGGAGATGGGACTGGACTCACTCGCGGGCGTGGAATTCAGGAATCGGCTGCAGGCGTCATTCGAGGGCCTCGCGCTCTCGTCGACTCTCATGTTCGACTACCCCACCGTTCCGGACCTCGTGGACTTCATCTACTCGCAGGTGGGTGCCTCAGGGGAGGAGGAGGACGGGGTGGGCGGCGGCGCAATCGGCGACGCAGGGATGCAGCTGTGCCTGTCGGGCCACGCGGGCCGCTACCCAGGCTGTTTGGTGAACGACGTGTCGCAGTACTGGCACATGATGAGCATGGGCCAGGACACCACCGCAGAGCTTCCCCCTGAGCGTTGGGACATCGACGCCTACTACGACCCTGACGTGGACGCGCCTGGGAAGACGTACGTGAAGCTCGGCCACTTCATCCCTGGCGTCGAGCACTTCGACGGCGACTTCTTCGGTGTGCACGAGGGCGAGCAGCGCGCCATGGACCCGCACCAGCGCTTGTCGCTCGAGATCACGTACGAGGGCATGCACGCCGCTGGCTTCAATAAGGACACTCTCCAGGGCCTGGACTGCGGGGTGTACGTGGGATGCTGCAACATCGGCGGCACAGACGTGGACTTGAATGCCCTCGGGCCCTACTCAAACATCGGAGCGGCGTACTCCGGCTGCTCTGGCCGCGTGTCGCACGTGTTGTCGTTGCGCGGTCCGTGCTTCACGGTTGACACGGCTTGCTCCTCCACGATAGTGGCTTTGGATTCTGGTTGCCAGGCGATCCGCGTGGGCAAGTGCAAGAACGCCGTGGCTAGCGGAGTGAACGTGCAGTTGGCTGCGTCCATCTGGATTGGCTTCTCGAAGATGCGTGGCCTGGCTTTCGACGGTCGCTGCAAGACCTTCGATGCCCGAGCCGACGGCTTCGCTCGCGGCGAAGGCCTTGGTTGCGCGATGATCCAGCCGATAGCGCAGCTCGAGGACGAGGGCTACAACTTGGCAACCCTGAGCGGCGTCTCCACGAACCACGACGGGCGGGCTGCTACAATCACGGCCCCGAACGGCACAGCGCAGCAGCGGGTGATCCGCAGCGCGCTGTCCGAGCGCGGCACGCAGCCAGATGAGGTGACGTGCGTCGAGTGCCACGGCACGGGTACCGCACTGGGTGACCCGATCGAACTCGGCGCCCAGAAGGCGGTGTACAGCAAGGGCCGCAGCGAGGACGCGCCGATGGTCCTGGCGGCAATCAAGTCCAACATCGGCCACCTCGAAGGCTCCGCGGGCATTGCCGGTATCAGCAAGGTCATACTCATGTTGAACAGCAAGCAGATTCCAGGGAATCTCATGCTGGAGACGCTTAATCCGAACATCGACCTCTCAGGCTACCCCGTGCTGATGCCCGACTCGTTGATGGAGTGGAATGGCACGAGACGCTGTGCTGTCTCCTCGTTTGGCTTCAGCGGCACAAATGGCCACGGTATCGCGGAGGCGCCCTCGCACACGGGGGAGAAGCCCAAACGGCCGCTGGTTCAGCTGAACAGGAAAGTTGTCGGCCCTTATCGCGAGTGGCTCGACACGGTCATGTACAGGGAGGAGTGGAACGCGTCCCCGGCCACGCTGAGCGTGCCATTGAGCGGCAAGACCCTCGTGATGGGCAGCGGCGAGACAGCCGATGCAGCGTGCAAGGCGCTGACGCCCAGCACGAAGGCTGACCTGGCAGGCTTCACCGCCAAGGACGTCGCGGCGGCCTTCGCCACAGAGAGCGTTCAGGCCGCGGTGCTCACGCGGACGCTGGGCGCGAGCGACGCGCTGCCCGGGACAGCCCTGCAGGAGGCGCTGGCCTTCCTCCAGGGAGCCCAGCTGGCGAACGCCAAGGCGCCGAAAACGCTCGTGGTCGGCACCCGGGGCACCCACGACTCGCAGCGTAAGCAATTCGACGCGGGATCTGCCATTTGGGGTCTCGTGAGGACGGCCCGCATGGAGATGCCGAAGACCGTGATCAAGGTCGTCGACGTGCCGATGGGCGCGACCGCGGAGGCGGCTGCGAGGATGCTGGCGGACGAGCTGCAGGAGCCCGAGACGGAGGTGGAAGTGGCCTACACCACACAGGGCCGCTGCGTGCCGCGCGTCGTGAAGGACCCAGCGGCGGCGAGGTCCCTGCAGATGCGCGACGCTATGCAGGACAAGCGGCTCGTGAGCGGGCTCCACATTGTGACCGGCGGCCTCGGAGGGCTGGGCTTGGTCGCGGCACGGCAGTTGGCCGAGCTGGGCGCTGAGGAGGTCATGTTGGTCTCCCGCAGCGGCAAGCTGGCGCATGGCCAGGGCCTCGAGCCGCAGCTCGCCTGGCTCGAGTCGCACCAGGGCATGACGCTGCACACACGCAGCTGCGACGTGTCGTCGGCCGCGGGCGTAGCCTCGCTTGTTAAGGACTGCAAGGACAACGTCCAAAGCCCGGCGGGCATCGTGCACGCAGCGGGCGTGCTGGACAGGTGCTCGCTCGCCGATCTGACTTTCGAGCGGATGTCCAAGACGCTGGACCCCAAGGCGGCCGGCGCCTGGCACTTGCACAGCAGCACTGAGTCCCTGGACCTCGGTTTGTTCGTGCTCTTCTCGTCCGTCTCAGCCGTGGTCGGGCTGGCAGGCGGCGCGGCCTACTCGGCGGCCAACGCGTACTTGGACGGCCTCGCCGATTGGCGGTACTCCAGGCAGGGCGGCGTCAGTTTGAAGTGGGGGCCCGTGTCCGAAGTCGGCATGACGGCCGCCGCGAACGCAGACTCGCACCTCGAGGGCATGTCTCTCAAGACGCTTTCGCCGGCGCAGGTTGCCAGTGCGCTGCGCCTGGCGCTGACTTTGCCGGGGCCGAAAGCCATGCCGTCCAGCGGGCTGCTGCTTGCCAGGGTGGACTGGGCCGCCTTCGTTCGCGAGACGGGTGCGGAGATCCCACAGCTTGTGGACTTCCAGGATGTGGAGGTCGGCGGCACCAGCGACGCGGCAGGCAAGGCTGGTGCCCTTGCGGCGATGTCGTCCGATGACCGCACGGCAGCGGTGTTGAAGTCCATCCGCGGGGCGGCCACAAGCATGGGCTTGGAAGTCGAGGACGAGACACCTCTGATGGAGGCTGGCATCGACTCCCTCTCCGCGGTGGAGTTCCGCAACCGAGTCTCGGGGGAGTTCCGGTCCGTGAAGCTGCCGAGCACCTTGATGTTCGACTACCCAACCTTGGCGTCGCTGGCCAACTACGTCTCAGACCAGCTCGAGGGCGCGGCGCCGTCGGCTGCGGCTGCGGCGCAGATCTCGAAGGGGTCGTCGGCCGCGAGGCGTGCAGCAAGCTCGGCGCCCGGCGGCGGCAAGGACCAACTTGCCATCCTGGGCGCCGCGTGTCACCTGCCAGGCGACAGCTGGGCGCTCGAGTCTTTCGCTGCCACGCTGATGGCCGGAGTGGACTGCATCCAGGAGGTTCCGTACAGCCGATGGGATTCTGGCGAGTATTACGACCCCGAGGCGAGCACGGGCTTGAAGATGTACGTGCAGCACGGCGGCTTCATCGAGGGGGGCGAGCTCTTCGCCGCCGCCCACTTCAACATCGTGAAGCCAGAGGCGGAAACCATGGATCCTCAGCAGCGCCATCTGCTGGAAGTATCGTTCGAGGCCTTCTTGGGCGCGAAGATCGAGAAGAGCACCCTGATGGGGAGCCTCACGGGCGTCTTCGTGGGACAGGACAAGTGCGATTGGAATCGCATGATCTCTGGTTCTCAGGGCGGCCCCTACGCGGCGACAGGCGGCTCTTCGTCAATCTCCGCGAACCGCATCTCCTACGTGCTGGGGCTCCGCGGCCCCAGCGCCACCATCGATACCGCATGCTCCTCCTCGCTCGTGGCCGCGGACACTGCTGCTGCCACGCTGCGCCGCGGGAGAGCTGACCTGGCCACCGTCTGCGGCGTCAACATGCTGCTTCTCCCGCAGACTTTCGTCGCATGCTGCCAGGCACACATGCTGTCCGCGGGCGGCCGGTGCCGCACGTTCGACAACACCGCCTCGGGCTACGCGCGCGGGGAGGGCGCAGGAGCTCAGACGCTCGAGAGGATCGGCGACAAGCACGCGCTCGCAGAGCTGCGGGGCTCGGCCCTCAACCAGGACGGCCGCAGCTCGAACCTCACCTCGCCCAACGGACCGTCGCAGCAGGCCGTTGTGCGCGAGGCGCTCTCGGAGGCTGGCATCGCGCCCAGCGCGCTGCACGCGCTGGAGACCCACGGTACCGGCACCGAGCTGGGCGACCCGATCGAGTTCGGGGCATTGCAGGCGGTGCTCGGCGGAACCGACAGGCAGAGGCCAGTGATGCTCGGAGCTGTCAAGTCCAACATCGGGCACCTGGAGGGTGGCGCAGGCCTCGCGGGCCTCACCAAGCTTGTCGCAATGCTGCGCCAGAGGCGCATGCCGGCGAACCTGCACCTGCGAGACTTGAACAGCCACATATTCGAGGACCTCGAAAATTTCCAGGTCGGTTTGCCAACCGAGACCATTCACTTGGTCGAGAAGATGACGACCGCGTCCGTCTCGTCGTTCGGCTTTGGCGGCACGAACGGCCACGTCGCGCTCCAGACTGCAGAGAAGGAGCTGCCCCAGGCCGCGAAGGCGAGCAAGAGGGTCGCCATGCTCTTCACTGGGCAGGGCTCGCAGTACGTGGGCATGGCCAAGGGTCTCTACGAGACGGAGCCGGTGTTCCGCGAGGCGCTGGACAGGTGCGCCAAGGTATTGGACGGCTTGCTTCCCCAGCCGCTGCTGAAGGTGATGTACGCGCCAGAGGGCAAGAGCGAAGGCCTGCTGAACCAGACGCAGTTCTCCCAGCCTGCCATCTTCTCTGTACAGTATGCTCTCTCAGAGCTCTGGAAGTCCCGCGGAGTGGTGCCCTGCGCCGTCCTCGGCCACAGCGTCGGCGAGTACGCCGCGGCGGTCTCTGCTGGGGCGCTTTCTCTTGAGGACGGTCTGCGCCTCATCGCGGCTCGCGGGCGGTTGATCGCGGAGAAATGTGAGACGGGTGTGGGTTCGATGTTTGCCCTCTTCACGCCTGAGGCCGAGGTGCGACAGGCCCTAAAGAAGCTCGGCGACACCCAGGTGGCCATTGCGGCCGTGAACGGCCCCAAGATGACGGTAGTGAGTGGCAAGACCGCATCTGTCGAGAAGCTCGCCGAGATGATTGGCGCGACGAGCCGCCCGCTGACTGTGTCCCACGCCTTCCATTCGCCGCTCATGGAGCCGGCGCTGGCACCCTTCCGGGCGGAGGTAGCCTCTGCTGCGCTGAGCCCCCCGTCGGGCACCAGGTTCTTCTCCACACTCCTAGGCCGCGAGGTGACCACAGAGGTTACAGAGGCTGACTATTGGGTTGACCACATTAAGGATGCGGTTCTCTTCAACAAGGCGATGCAGGCTCTGGACTCCGAAGTGAAGCCGGATGCGTACCTGGAGGTGGGCGCTGCGCCAACATTGGTAAATATGGCCAGGCGTTTCGTGTCCCGCGGTGTGGACTGGCTTGCGTCCATGGACGAGAAGACGGGCGCCGACCCCGAGGTGTTCCAGAAGTCGCAGGACCAGATTGGTGCCAAGCTGCCAGCACCGTCTGCGACACTGAAGCGCCAGTCGTTTCCCTGGAGGGACGCCGGGCACCCACTGCTGCGGAAGAAGACGATCCGCGCTGACGGCGCCACGGTGTACGGTTGCCTCTTCGGGGGGCACGTGTTGGAGCTCTTATCGCACCACATCGTTCACGGTGAGGTGGTCGTGCCAGGCGCCTGCTACCTCGAGATGATCGTCGCAGGGTGCACGCAGCACTTGGGCAAGGAACAGGCCTGGTGCATTGAGGGCCTCGGCTTCGCCAAGCCACTGGTGCTGCGCCTGGTCGACGGCAAGTTGGAGGAGCCGACGGAGTTGCGGCTGGTCATCCGCACCGACGGCGTAGTCGAAGTGGAGAGCGAGATAGGCACGGACCCCGAGGACAGCATCTGCTCCACGCACGTGGAGGCGACATTGGTATTACAGGCGGGCGGCTGGCAGGCCAATCGCCCCGAGCAGGACTCTTTCAGCCTGGACAGGCTGCGCGCCCAGTGCTCAGATGCGGTCGACATCGACCTCATGTACTCTTTCGGTCGCAAAAGCGGCCTGCCTCTGCAGTCGCGCTTCCGCACGGTGCGCCACTGTCAGAAGGGCAACCGCGAGTCCATCGGGCGCCTCGAGATGGAGCGCGATGGTACGCACGTGGGCTTCTGGCTCGGTCCGTCCGTGATCGACGGCTCGTTCCAGGCCTCCATGGCCCTCGCGGACGCCGACGTGGGCATCGGTACGCTGAAGATCCCGCTGTCCATTAAGCGCCTGCAGCCGGCAGGTCGGTCGTTCTCCATATCCGTGTGGTCATATTTCCAGCTGATCGACTTCACTGACAGGTCGACCGTCTTCCGCTCATGGCTCCTGAACGACGCCGGGGAGGCCCTGCTGTACTTCGACCACGTACACTTGCAGGAGGTCCGCGACGAGCACATCCAGAAGGTCCTGCAGGCTTCTGGCCGGCAGGGCAAGGAGAAGGAGGCCCTATACGGTGTGGAATGGCGCGACGCGCCTGCTGGGGCTCCAGTGGCGTCTTCCACACAGGAGCGATGGCTCGCCCTCGGCAGTGCGAAGGCCCTCGCCAAGCTCTCCCTCGAGGGCGACAAGCGCTTCCGATCTGTAGCGCACGGCGGCCAGCTGGACTTGCTCGACGAGGGCGCGGTCCAGGTTCTCCTGTCGGAGAAGAGTTGGGAGGCAGTCGTGTTCGCCGAGGGCCTCTTGGAGGAGGCCGGGGACGTGGACGTCGTGACGATGGCCATGGCCCTCACACGTGCCGCCACCAAGTGCTCAAAGGCCCCCGAGCTGTGGCTCGTGACCGACGGCGCGCAGCCTCGCAGCTCGGACGACGAGGAGGCGAGGAAGGCGGGGTCCCCGATTCACGCTGGCATCTGGGGCTTCGCCCGGGCGGTGCGCATGGAGTACCCAGGGGCCGTGGCTGTGAGGAGCCTGGACTTGGACCCCCTTCAGGCCAAGGCGGGCCGAGGTCTCGCGGACGCGCTCGAGTCGCACAGGGGCGGAGAGGACGAGCTCGCCCTGCACGCCAGCGATGCGCGCACGGCAAGGCTCGCACGAAGCACGGTTGACTACAGGGGGCCCATGCGCTTGAACATGGCTGCCCGCGGGGCTCTCTCCAACCTGAAGCCCGTGGCCCAGGCTGTGCGCCGAGGAGTGGCGCCTGGAGACGCGAAGCTGCGCATCCGGGCAGTCGGGCTGAACTTCCGCGACGTGCTGAACGTGATGGGACTGTACCCAGGCGACCCTGGCCCACCAGGTGCGGATTCTTCGGGCACTGTGATCGAGCTGGGCGAGCGTGTCAAGAACGTGAGCATCTGCGAGGATGTGTTCGGCGAGTCTCCAGGCTGCCTGAGCACCTACAACAGCGGCCTTGCGGCCCTCCTCGCCACCAAGCCAGCGTCGTGGACGTTCGAGCAGGCGTGCGCGATGCCCGTCATCTTCGTGACCGTCGAGGAATCGCTCGGCGACCTCGCCCAGCTGAAGAGGGGCGAGCGCGTGCTCATCCACGCGGCCGCCGGCGGAGTGGGCCTCGTAGCCATCCAGTATGCGCAGTTCGTCGGAGCCGAGATCTACGCGACGGCCGGCGCCGAGGAAAAGCACGAGTTCTTGCGTGGGCTGGGCGTGAAGAGGATCACCAGCACGCGCAACGGGACGCAGTTCGAGTCAGATATGAAGCGCTTCCTCGAGGAAGACGGCGTGGATGGCGTGGACGTCGTGCTCAACAGCCTGAGCCACGACGACTACATCGGGCGGTCTCTGGCCGTCCTGAGGAAAGGAGGTCGCTTCATGGAGATCGGCAAGCGCGGCGTCTGGGGCCACGAGAAGATGCGGAACGCTCGCCCCGACGTGATATACGAGAAGATCGTGGCAGACATCATGATGGAGAAGGAGTGTTGGAGGTACAACGAGTACTTGACGCGCCTCATCGGCCGCGCAGACGCTGGCCATCTGACGCCCATCAACTCGCACGTCTTTGACGGCTTCGACCGCGGCATTGCCGCCCTTCAGTTTCTGCAGAGGGCCAACAACATTGGCAAGGTTGTGATCAATGATTCAAGTAAGATGGGATGCAGGCCTGAGTGCACCAGTGTGTTGAGCGGCGGCATGGGTGCTCTCGGCATCGTTACCGCTCAGTTCATGTCCGAGGAAGGGGCCAAGTCGTTGAGCTTGCTATCGCGGGGCGGCACGCCTTCATCGGACGCCCTGGCGCAGTGGGAGTGGTTGCAAAAGTCCACGGTGGAGGTGTTGGTCTCAAAGTGCGACGCGGGTCAGGCAGCCAGCGTGCAGGAGCTGGCTGCGAGCTTGGCCGGGAAGAAGTTGGGCAGCTTGTTGCACCTCGCGGGAGTGCTCGCGGACGGCATGCTGCCGACTCTGACCAAGGAGCATTTCGCGAAGTCCTACGGCCCGAAGGTGCATGGCCTGCACAACCTGTGCGGGGCGCTGTCGTTCGAGGCAGACGCGAAGTTCTTGCTGTACTCGTCCACCTCGGCGTTGTTCGGATCGCCAGGCCAGGCGAACTACTCGGCCTCCAACTCTGTGCTCGACTCGCTCGCGCCCCATTGGACAGCCAAGGGTATCCGCAGCGCATGGTCCATCCAGTGGGGCCCGTGGGCCGAGGTCGGGATGGCGGTGCAGGCGAACACGCTGCAGCGCGCCAAGGCCATGGGCGTCGGCGCGCTTGGCACAGCCCACGGCATGGCCATCATGGGCAGCGTGTTGGCCAGCGGTGAACCCGTGGTCGGCGCCGCCATCGTAAATTGGGGCAAGTACATCCGCAGCGCCTACCAGGAGACGCCGCGCTTCCTGCTCGACATGGAGGCCGAGGCCCGCAAGGCGGCGCCCGCCAAGGCAGATGGCGACGGCAGCTCCCTGGTCTTGGCCGGCCTCTCGGCGCAGGAGCGCCTGGAGGCTGTCACGAATTTCTTACAGAACATGGCACGCGAGGTCGTGGACAGCCAGGACCTCGGCCCGGACGACGCGCTGCTCGAGAACGGCCTGGACTCGCTCAGCGGCGTAGAGTTCCGCAACCGCTTGGTCGCGGAGTTCGAGACCGTTAAGATGCCGAACTCGTTGGTGTTCGACCACCCCACCGTGAACGCGCTGGCGCTCTTCATCAACGAGCAGCTTGGAGACGCTCCGGCCGCCGATGCCACCTCGGCGTCCGCGCCAGCAAAGCAGACTTCCGCGGCAGAGGCAGCCCGGCTGATCGAGCCGCTCAATGACAGGACTTCAGGCGCCCCGCTGTTCCTGGTGCCTGGAGCAGGCATGCAAGCAGGCGGCTTCCGTACTCTCGCGGGGTTGCTGCCTGTTCCCGCCTACGGCTTCTCGTGGCCCAAGGGCGCGTTCGCGCGCGAGCAGTGGCCCACTACAATGGTGGGCTTGGCCACGCTCTTCTTCGAGCAGGTGCAGCTCATTCAGCCGGAGGGGCCGTACCACTTCGCGGGGCACTCTTTCGGGGCCAGCGTTGCTGTCGAGATGGCCCAGGTCGCTCAGAGCCGTGGCGCCGCGGTGGTTCTTGTTGGACTCCTTGATGCTCGGAGCTTGCCCCCCTTCAACGTGGACATCGGCAGTACTTTCTCCGAGACCACCCTCGTGGACAGCCTCGCCCTGCTGTCGGAGACCGCGGCTGACGGGTCCAAGTTCGTTGCTAACTTGGAAGAGATCTCGAAGGCCACTGCCGCTGGGGAGAACGGCGAATCCGCTTTGCGGCGGCTGCTGAACCCGGCCGTGGTCGGTATGCTCGAGCACGTTCACGAGACGACGAAGTGGTACAGCCACCTCCTCGGCACCCACAAGTTCTCGGATAAGAAGCTGCAGAATGCGAAGGTGGTGGCCCTCGCGGCGGAGGAGACCTGGCTGCTTCCGAAACCGAAGTCGGAGACCTTGGCTCAGGCCATGGTGCGCGACATCCAGTCCAAGACCTTCCAGAGCAACGCCGAGGTCGCGGAGCGCCTCGGGGCTCTCTGCGGGTCCGTGGTCGTCTCAGCGAAGGCCCCGGGCACGCACTTCTCCATGCTGCACGAGCCCGGCGCCGTGGGGGTCGCGCTCACCCTCTGCGGCGCGCTCAATGATTTGGCAAACGCTGGCGGCGCGGCCTGAACGCCACGAGTCACCCCTCCCGAGAGCCAGCTCTGAGCCGACGCTTGACGCCTGCGCTTTGCAGCGACCTGTGCGTAGTAGCTGTTCTTCTTCCCCCCCTGAGCAGATATCAGCTAGAGCTGCAGGGATTCCCCACCTCGTACAGCTTGTGCAAACATCACAATATCAACCTTGCCTTGCCTGAGGACCATGTCTTGCCGTGCGCGTTGGGCTACCCATGTTATGCCGTGCGTCCCTGGCTTGTCGTGCCCTGCATGATGTGTCAAGCAAGTGTGCCGTGCTGTGCGTGCCCTCCCACGCGTGCCGTACCGTGGCGCGATATGGGATGCATGCGTCGGCACATAAACATGCATATACAGATACACATGCCCGCACACACACACACAAGCACATATATATATAATTGTGTATACATGCATGCATACATACATACATGCATGCATGCATGCATGCATGCATACATACATACATACATACATACATGTCTATGGACACCGATGTATACAGATATCTACTTATGCATAGATGTATGTGTGTGCTTGCCAGCATAGAGCCCTAACTGAGTTATTGCACCTTCCCGGTGCAGCCCATGTGGCGTAGCGGCAACGGGGCGGCAACGGCTGGCAATGTTGCGAGTCCTCGACATACCCCCATGGGTTGCAACGGGCGGCAACGTGCCGAATCCTCGGCATTCTCCCGAGGCGGCAACGGGCGGCAATGTGGCGAATCCTCCACCTACCCCCCGAGGCGGCAACGGGCGTGGACGCGACAAAACCTCGACATACCCAATCAGTTCCTCAGGTCGACAACTGAGAACCCCTAAGTGCAAACACTGTTTGGGGAATATATGTCTGTCGTCGCTGCCCATGGTCTGAGTACTTGCGGGCCAGCGGCATCCGCTTATCTGCAACTGTGTCGCAGGTTTGCAGGAAAAGTTCCCGCCCGCGGGTCGTGAGATGGCATTTGCCAAAAAGGTGCTGCGCCGCTTATGCACCAACGCGGCAGGTTGGGGCGAGCAAAGCGGCACACACAGGGCAGGCAGATGGAACAGGTCAAGGCGAATGCCAGCGCCGCTTTGGCAACCACCTCGCAACCACCGCGTGGGTCCCAACCCGCGTGGGTCCCATCATTATGATCAGCTTGACACGAAGGTGCACCATACAGTGACGCTTCTACGTTTCCGTTCTCTCAAGCGGCTCGTGCGCATGGCGGGCCCAGAACACGTCACAGGCGGACGCTTTCCAATTTTAAGGCGGCAGATCCAGAGTTACACGATGCGGGCTTACTCCCAGGGCGACACAGCCGTACCCCCGCCTCTGAGCTCAGCTCCCTACGCGCCGTATCTGACGACAAGAGCAACTCGATGCGGTAAGCTTTCCTTCCACGCTCATTTTCCCCTCCACGCCCATGGACTTACGCAGTGCCAGCATGCGCCATGGCTCTGCCATTGGAGCTTGGCACCAGACGAAATGTAGTGCCAGTATTACACTCTGCATCTCCACTGCTGTTGGCGGGCACCCCCTGGTTCGCATGAACGTTTCCATGCCCACTCCCCAGCCATGCAACTCCACTGGCGCCCATTATGCGCGCCGAATGCGCCAAGGGCCATTATTGCGGCCTCCACGCGAAGGCATGCTGATAATTGCGTAGCCAGCGTGTGGAAAGTGACTGGCATGGAAAGGCGAGGATCCCACCTTGAGGAAGTCCCACGTATGCCACGTGCAGGGTGCTTAATCTACGCATGCACCTTCATGTCTATGATCCCCGTTTGAACATTGGCCTGTAGGTGAAAGCCTTCCGCCGTTGAGGGTCTACTTTGCGTGCCCGATATGAGGCGTGGTTTCACGCTCTGCCCGTGCATAACCTCTTGGCTTGTGATTACGGTGCTGGGGAGGTTAAGAATGTACTACGACATGTTGGGATATTATTTCGTCACCCGATGGGTATTCGGATTCGTTGCGCTTCCCTGCATTGCCATGCTGCGCAGTAGGCACGTCAAGCAAGAAACCGGCCTGCCAGCAGGTGGCCCACGGAAGTTCTTGATCTCCCGTTGGCCGTGCGGCCCACAGAAGCTCTGTGGCACCTCAGGACCCACAAAAGATCGAGGAAGAATGTGCCCCAATATTTCTTACAGCAAGAGTTCTTACCGTATGTGCCAAGCGTACCTCCTGCCTTTGCGGCGGCCTTCGGCCAACGGCTTCCGTCTGCCGCAGAACTCAGCCAAGGACCAGAACAGGGCCCGGCAGCCTCCTGCTTCCCACAGTCTCGGCCGTGAGGCTCGCGCGGCTCGAAGCCACGCTTGCCGTGCCGTGTTGTGCATGGGCTGCCGTGCGTGCCGTGATGTGCGACCGTTCGCAAGATGCCAGTGCTTCTGTGAATATCCGAGTCTCATGTCATCCATGGCTTCCAGCATGCGCTGCACAGGGTCTTTCAGTAGGATGCCGTTTCAAGTTGACGGAGAGGGCCACGGATCCCAGCCTGGCTGGCCTGCGCCACACGCTCGTAGCACTCCGGCGAATCTGCCCGTCTTCGAAGGCACATGGCCTTCCTACTTCATGAATCGATGAAGTTAGAGGTGGTTTTAGTTGTTATTACTCGAACTCGATGCGTTCCATCTGACCCGAGGCGAGCCCCAAAAAAGAGCGCGAGCAAAGCCGATTGCGTCAATTACATTGGTGCCGAGAGGCCGGGAGGCTATACGCATGCCATTCGAGGGATACGAACGGTTTGGGTTGTGAGTCATGATTGTGTTGCGCGGGGATTGTGCTGCGCAACGCTTGTGCTCTACAGGAATTGGTTGCTGCTTGCGTATTCCTCAGGCTTGTCTATGGAATTCTCATCTGTTGTTGAACCCGTTGGTGCGCGGCCTAATCCGGCTGGCGTTCCTCGGGGTTCCTTGGGTACACTGGGGTCCTTTGGAATTGTGGTTTGACTTTTTTGGGAAGGCCCGCTTTCCTAGGGTTCCCCGGGTTCTTTGGTGTTGTTTCTGTTCTGTTTTGAAGGAGGCGTTTTCCATGATACCACGTATTGCTAAGACATGTGAAGCAATGCTAAGCGATGCCAAGCAACGCCAAGCAATGCAAAGCTATGCCAAGCGGTTTGCATGCAATGCCAAGCAATGGCAATCAACGCTAATCAACGCAAAGCGATGTCAAGCTCTGCGAACAAAAAACGTCAAGCCATACCCATCAATTCAATGCAAAACAATGCCAAACAAGACCAAGCAATGCCAAGCAACGCCAAGAAACGCCAAGAAACGCCAATCATTGCCAAGCAATGCCTGCCAACACCAAGCAATGAAAAAGCAACGCCAATAATTGCCAAGGAACGCCAAGCGGTGCCAAGCAACGCCGAGCAATGCCGAGCTGTGCCAAGCAATGCCAAGCAATACCAAGCAATGCCAGGCAACGCCAAGCAATGTCCAGCGATGTCTTCCTTGCCCAGTTACTCACTTAGAACAGTTCCCCCATATTCCGGTCGCGTTGAGCTGATTTTATTTTGACGCGTGGGGGTCCTGCTGGCGTTGTGCGTCATTTCGTGCTGCCCGTGGGGATGACAAAGCACTCACACAACTCGACTCGTGGAAGCCGCACTCCTTCCCAAGAACAAGGCCTCGAGCCAGCGCGGCAGAGCCCGAGAAGGCAGCACAGCCTTTAGAAACCTCACAACTCCCAAACAGAGCAGCCCATACGCACCGCAACATCGAAAGCATGTGCAGCTTCGTCTGAGTCAACGATTTTTTAATCGCTTCGCTCATTCCGCCGGCCCATCTCGCATCACTGTGACTGTGTGGTGGTGTGATCGTGCCCAGGAGGACAGTAGAGCAGACAGGACGGTCTTCGAGAAGATCTTCGGAGATGTGGCTCGCACCCATTCGAAGAGAGCCGAGATATTGCCCAGATAGCCGATTTGGGGGTCAGAGGTTCATTGGAGACGCTTCGTGGTTACCGCTCGACCATGCAGTTCTCGTTGAAAGTTGCGCGGCACTGCAGGTGTGAAGGGGCCCCTGGGGTCGCGGAGCTGCCTGGCACGCCAGAATCGCGTTTGAGAGGTTTAAGCAGAAACCTTGGCAGGAGGGAGGTCCTGTCGGACGGGGCTAGGACGAGGGCAACTCCGATCCAAGGCGTTCCGGAACGCTCTGACAGCGTTCTGGAATGCTCTGAGAAGGCCGCGCCGCCCAAGACATTGTGACATCACTCAGACCCCCTGGATGTCAGAGATTATCGATTTCTCCCCAAACGAACGTGTTCTGTCTTATCCAGGGAGTTCTGGAAGTCGGCATGTACCGAGGGTTTTCAAAAAAAAGGCCCCGCAGGAGGCGCCGGACGCTTGAGTGTGGGACATCGTGGGGCTGGGGCCTTGGTGAGCAATTTCGGATCGGCATTGGAATATTGCAGGGTTGCATGCGGTCACGTCTCAGGCTGAAATCATTCAGCAAAAGATAGCCCCTAACCCTACTAACTCAATGAATTCGTGCACTAACTTAGGTCCACGGTGTTTAGGGTTATCCCTGAACATAGCCAAAACATGATCGCCTATTTCTAATGTGTTTGGCACTCCTACTGCAGGTCCGCTCACGAAGGATTAGGGATACTGTTCTTGCTGATCGTGAAAATTGACGAAGCGCCGCGCCCATCGTAGAGAATCAGCGAACATGAATTATGCAGGCCTGCTGGAGAGCCTGGCTTGGGCTGCCTGAGTACTCTTGGGCGCTCTCTGAGGCGTCCAGGGGGCTTCGGGAACCATGGTGGGACGATTTGAAGCCTCCTGGGCCGTGCTGGAGGCGTACTGGAAGTAATGTTGGCCAACTTTGAAAACGAATGTTGCGATATCTGACGGAATGCTTGCTGCACTGGGGGACATGGAGGCCCGAGTTTTGGCACTGTGTAACAAATCTCATACGCCCTTGTGCCCTTTGGGCTGGCTTCCAGGAGAGTTGCAGAGATCTACAGACCGAATGCTGAGCCTAGAAGCTTTCAAGAACTGATCCCAGGGGTCCAGGAGAGGTCGCGTGTGTTCCAGGAGACTGATTAGACGGAGGGTTCCTACAAATGCCCCGCCAGAAACGGCGCATACTTGCCGTATGATGTTGCACAGCGTTGGGACATTATTGGATGCCTCTGGTGACCGTTTTAGGTAATTGTGGTAGCGTCTGTGGATTGGGGCGATCTTAACTCACCCTTGTTCCCGCACCGCTTGAAAACAACAATGTTGCGTTTGCCAGATGGGTGATGGCTTGCGGGTCGGCAGTCCCCAAGGGCGAGTTCGCGCGCCCTTTGTGGCTTGACGTCTCAACATGTGTTCATGTAAAGGTTAAGATGACCGTGAACGTGTTTGGCTCTTTCTGTCAGCAGTTCGATATTGTACCGCTTTGCAAACAGCCGCACAATCATCTGGCACACAAGCCGAAACAAATGTTGCATTACATGCCCTCATCTATCATAAATTATTTGTTCTGCCACTCACCAGTAGGCTTGCCGTCGCCTCTGTTGTTCCCTCGTCCGCCCCCGTTGACAACATTCGGCGTCCTACTCTTGTTCCTTAGCTAATCCATTTTGATCAAGGTTACTGTTCTTCCTTCCCCTGCTTTTACCTGCTGGTCGTCCCTGTCTTTCCTTGCTCACACCTTCCCCGTCGCCGAGGAACGCCTCTCCCTGCTTCTCACCTCCGATCGGGCCGTCTGCCCTCCCTCTTTCCTCGAGGGCGCCCTCGAGGGCTCGAAGATATTCGCGCTTCGAGGTTCGGCTACGATGTCCTCCTCTCCTCCCCTGGGGGGGGCGGCGCGAGAGCGCGAAGTGCTTCTCGCTTCGCGCGGCGCGAAGCGCGAAATTCGGCGCCCCCGCTCTCCCCTCCGCTCCTGCCGTCGGTCCTCCCCTCCTTCCGCCCAGCGACCGGGTGTTGCTAGAAGTGCCCCTGGCCCAAGGTGCCCCCAGGATTTCCAAGGAGGCCGCCAAGGCCTCCAGAGCTCCCCTCACGAGGCCCAGAGGGCCCCAGGGGCCCAACACGGAGCGAAACGCTGGGGGCCACCTCGGGCCAGCTGCACCCTGGGCAGCCCCCGAAGCGAGAGGCGCTCCAGCGGGGGCCTCGTCCTCGATCCCATCGAGGGGCCCGGCCTCTGACCCTCGGCGCGGCTGCTTGCGCGGCAGCAGAGGCGGGCGGAGGCCGGAGGAAGCCAGAGGAAGCAAAGGCTCGTACCCCCTATGCAGGGTTGCCAGAGGTGCCCCTGGCCGACTGCTTCGGGCCCTCCCAACTCAGGCTCCACCCCAAGGGGTCAGGGGTTCTCTCTAGTGCTGATCGTCAGAGGGGTAAGAAGTGGGATGGTTTTGGGAGTCTCTTGAGGCTTCCGAAGGCACCAGGCTTCTCGCGGAAGCCTCGGCGCCTTCGGACTGGCTGGAAATCCGGAGCAGTAGCCCGCGCTATTGTTGTCCACATGCGGATCCCCTCCGACAGTCCGCCACCAGAGTTGTGATCCGCACCCACCGCCTGCGAGTCGTGACCCAGGACCTCTCGAGGACCTCTCGAGGACCTCCGAGGACCTCCGAGGAGTGGTGATCTGCTCGAGGACCTCCAGGACCTCTCGAGGACCTCCGAGGAGCGGTGATCTGCTCGCCTCGATCCTGCCTCCCCGCCCCCCCGCCGCCCCGCCACGAGCCGGCAGGCCCCACGCCCGGCGCGCCGCCGCCGGAGCGGCCCAGCGCGAGCAGCCCGGCGCTGGCAGCCCTGGCCCCGGAGCAGGAAGTGGCTCAACCGCCCGGGGGGGGGGGGGGGGGGGGGCAAAGGTCGGGAGCGGAAAAGAGGGGGGGTGATGACTAGGGGGGGGTGGATTTCATGGCGCGGGCCATGATATGTCCTCAGATTTCATGGCGCCTCTTCTTATTTCATTACGTCTCTGGCCCCGCCGCTGGGCCGCGCACATGCCGCCGGTCATGATTTGCACCCCCCCCTCTTGGACACCCCCCTCTTGGCCGCTCCCGAGCAGCAGGGGATGGCTTGAGGCATGCGCGCAGACAGTGAGGGGGGCGGAGCGTTGGCGCGGGGGATAGGCTGAGGGGGGGATCGAGGCTCGAGGTTCGAGATGTTCGGCGCTGTCGTGAGTGCTCGTCGGGTGTCTCCAGCCCCGGGACGCCCTCCAGCGGCTGCGCCGGGGGTGCCCAGATCGCTCCGAACGACCGTGGCGAGAACGGATCGTGGCCTTTTAGGCGTGTTCCTGTCGAGGGGGTGAGGGGGAGGGGGAGGGGGAGGAGGAGGAGGAGGAGGAGGAGGAGGAGGAGGAGGGAGGAGGAGGAGGAGGAGGAGGAGGAGGAGGAGGGTGAGAAGGAGGAGGAGGAGGAGGAGGAGGAAGAGGAGGATGCAATCCTCAATGCTTTCGGGAGGGGCCAGTGGTTGGCCAGATTCCAGGGGGCCCCTGGCCTCCTTGGAATCTGAATTTTTGTGACTTGCAGAGCGCTCGAGTCTCCCCCGGGGAGCCCCCCCAGGACAGCCAGTTCCCGAAGAAGTCATCACTGCTCTGGGGAGGGGCCAATTTTCGGCCAGATTTCTGGGGGCGCGTGGGATCCCCGGAGAAGGTCTTGTGACTCGTAGAACGCTGTGGCCTCCCCTTGAAGCCCCCCCTCAGTGTACAGCAAGTTCTCGAGATGAAGCTATC